TCCCAGAGCTCTTGAAGAAATAAAGAGACTTCAGCAGGGAATAAGGGACTGCAAAAGAGTTGTTTAGCCTGCACAGTCTCCGGCTGCAGTCATGGATGCTGCTGGCAGCACCTGAAAATGCAGGTTCCTGCTCACATCCCAGGCCAGTGCAAATGGAGAGGCTGAGGGATGTGGGGTTTGGGGCGGTGGGGAAAGGTCGTAGTGCAGGATGTCCACCCCTCTTAGATGGAGGGCCAATGCAAAACCAAAGCATTTTACTTCAGGGGACTTCGGCGTTTCTACTGTCCTCAATTATATAATGAATTATCATAACCTCCAATTTATTACTGAAATGGTCTTGATTATTAGATTTAATTAATTTCTGCGCGTCATGGAGTTCAAATGACTTAAAGCTCTTTATGTGGGCACTTGCAATTAATCTGAAGCTCAGACTTAACAAGATCAGTACTATCAGTCTTCTCTGTTCTGCTCAAGTTTGTTTGCTCAAGGAAAATATTGTTTCCCATGCTGCATTTGATCTAGAAGTGAATGTAGTATTTTCTGCTGGTTTTAAGAAAATGAAAAAATTAGAATCATCAAGATAAAATTTCAGACTGCTCTCTAATATTACATTCATAGTTGATGTATACACAGTTTGCTGGATTAATCTGTTAGTTCTAAATCTTCCACAGAAAATAATCTATATTCAACCATTTGTTAGGTTTTAACAAATTTAACTCAATAATTCAAATGATTTTTTGAAATGTCAATGCTTTTTCAGAGAAAGTGTCTGTTTCAGGTTAAGGTAATGTTATATGTGGAAAATCAAAATCTGAAGAAGAGTGTATGACCGAGAGTGTATATCACTGAGTGAACTCATTTTCCATTTTTTCTTTTTACTATAATGAGATTTTTAAATGAGACACAGTTATGACCCAATAATTTGTCACTACCCATACTACAAATGCAATCAGAGTATAATTCTAATTTTAAAACCACATCATACCTTTTCTTCTTTTTTCCCAAAAACATCCTGCAAATGATCTTCAGCTACTGAAAGAGATTTTTCCATTATTCATTCACTTGTCATTCCTCAGGAACTTACAGAGTGCTTAAGGCTAATCTTATCTACTGTAGTAAGTAATATTTAATAGCTGGAAAACATTCAAGATCTTTTAGACATCATGATGCAGAAAGTCATCCTGTTTGATGATGAATGTACTTGGGGTTTTGTGCATATTCAAAGATAAGAAAAATATATATTTTTTAACAATTGTGAAACAATAGGAGTAGGGATGTAATTGAAAACTTTCCATTATACAGCTTTCAAGTTTGAATGACAATTTCTCTGACCTATGTAATTGTTTTATATGGTACAGGAACTGAGCAATTAACATTTTCAGATGCAAATGATGAAACACTAGTTTTTAAAAAAATTAATTTTCAAATAAACATAGTGAAGTTTCATTAATGCTTTAAAAACATTCAAATGGACAATCTAATATTGCTCATTCATCTTTTTCATAATGGACTTTGGAAATAGTCTGATAGTTATAGTGCTGATGAGGAAAATAATCCTTTCTGTCACATTAGTCAGTCTCAACCAAAAAAAAACTAACACATTGTTGGCAATACATCAAAGTTTTGACCCTATAAAACTTATAATTTCAGCTATCGTGATCTTGGAACAAAAGGAGTGTTTAGTTTGCTGACACAAGAAAAAGATCTGGAGAAAGCACTAGGCTACATCAATGTGCAGTGCTGCACTTAATTCCTTTTGTAGAAACTACTTTTAGATTTTTTCTATGTTTGTATGTCTGAGAGATTCAAATTATTATTTAAGGATTTTATGCTGAGGAATCAATCCATAGTGGAATGAATCTTATAATCTGTGGCATTTATATGCATAGATCTGACAACTCAGCATGACTGAGGAGGCTCATGCATGAGCTAGAGGCAACCTTATGAAAATTGCTACCTGTTCCGATTCATTAATAATTGATCAATTCATTTTGGAAAATGCAAAGTCTCTTCTATGTGGGAGGGAACACAGTTGGCTGATGGAGTGTGACCATCTCATCCTGTCCAAGTCATGGTCCGTATCAGGAGAAAGTCACTGAATAAATAAAAAGTATCTCAGGACTTGATTATCTCTCTGTCCACTCTACACTTCATGTACCCAGCACACTTAACTCCAGATACTGTACCATTATTTAGCTCCTGATTGCTCTGTGTGTGTAAATATATATTTTTACGTATATACAAAAATATATACAAACACACACACACCATGTAGATATAATATGCAATCATGAATAAAATTCTCTTATGTAGACTAAAGATATTCTGTAAACACACTTCAAAATTTTCTATTTCATTTCAGTGGAAATAATTTAGGTATGGTGTTTCTTCAGAGAGCCAAGAACGTGTGTTTGATGTAGAGTTGCTGATAAAGAATAAATTGTTTTCTGAAATTGAACATACAGACCTTGATTTCTAAGAGCAATGTGATTTAGAAATGAGACTACCTTCTCCTGTCTCAGCTTGATGATACATAAGATCCTGTAACCTCAAACCTCCTGTGGGAGAAGTGAATTTTGCAGTTCTTGCACTCATCCCTTATTCTTTGCCTCCCTTTGGCCAAGGCATCAAAACAAGATCCAGGGAAGCTTCTACAGTAATTTTTTGAATGACTCATCCCCTTCACTTCTCTGCTGACACCCTCACCTGGACTAAGGCCAGTGGGAGTCGTCTTCTCCTTCCCTGTTCCCTTGTGCCACTTTAAAGTTCTCCCTCCACAGGCTCCTCTGCAGCTCAGAAACCTCGACAGCTGGTATTTTACATAGCGGTACAGGGACATCCACAGGAGTTAAGCTCCTAGCTCCATACACTGGTGAGCCTGGGAGCAGAGGGAACAGGGAAACCTTTGCAGAGAGCTCTAACAGAGTCCTGAGCTTGCAACTATAAACCAAGAATAAAGTTTGTGCTATTTTCCACTTGGTCTGTTGCTGTCAATATGTGTGAGCTCTGGTTCTGCAGGCAGCTCGGCAGAAGCTGTAACATTATTCATTAAAAACATTTAAATTTTTTTCTGATTTAAGTGATATAGCTCTCCCCCAGACTTGCCATCCAGGTAGCATCATGGCTGCTTATTCCCCATGTGTTGCTATCTGCATATATTTTTTATGTGAGCAACCTTGTTAGCAGATTATATTTTTAGCCAAGATTCCTGGGCAAATGGAACCATTTGACCATGTTTTGAACTGTTCTTTTTCATCCCCTAAAATTTGTGAATGTTTTCTGTTTTCAGCCAAGTATGATAGAAGCCAAGAGGTTGTAAATATAGTTAATTTCCTTCATGTTTATGAAAATATTCAGGTAGGAAAAAGATATTTGAAAGTGTGCCAGACGGAAAAAACTGCAGCATGAACTCATCTTACTGGATACTGCAGATTTATACCAGGCACATATGTTATAAATGTTCCAACCACATAAAAATGGTCCATGAAACTTGTACTTTATGGGACTCACAAAGTGCAAGACTTTGGGAAACTGGATTTCACTAATTCTCATATTCCAAGCTGTGTGGCAGTGTAAGACTGTTAAAATCATAAGCTAAAAGTAAGTTGGAGTTAAACTTGTATTTAATGTTTCTGATTCACTGGTAATGTAGACTTGGAAAATAGTTTCATTTCCCTGGATCTGGTAGACCACAATATAGCAAAGCAAATGGTACTTAAGATGGCAGAACAAATGTGGAAAAGAAACCCAAAACATTTTTCTTAAACAACAATTAAATGATATTCCTAGGGAACAATTAATAGATATAAAATGCAAATTGTAATCTTAATTTTCTTGCACAGTTCATCAGCTCTTTGGCCATACAATTTATGGACACAAAGCTTTTTTTCTCTCCCACTTTCAGCTGAAAGTCAGGATGAACATATATACAGAAAATCTAGTTTTTCATAAGGAGATTGCTGTGTACTTAATGAACTCAATCTGAGTTAAAGAAAAAAGCATACATATCACCACCCTATTTCACAGGATACATATATTGTCTGTTAAACCCTTTTCTTCAATATGCTGATGCTTGTCAGAACTGAGGATTTTATACAAGAACCTCGAGGAGATTTGCTTTATTGAATTAGATTTCACTGGCGTTGAGAAAACTTATGGAAGCCTACATGAGGCAATATTTCTTCTTACTGTACTGGAAGAAGTCCGTGACAAGGAGTTTCCATGACAGGGAAACTGAATTAACTTGACAAGAGACCTTTGAGAGATCTCTGCTGGAATATTGCCCTGGGTTCACTCACGGCAGGGAACTTCTGAGCAATTAGTGAATTTACTGTAATTACAAAGTACACTTATGCAGTCCAACACACAACAAAAATCTCACTGGTAAAATGCAAGGAGCAAAGCAAAACAGAAGCAATATTTGCTGACTGCTGATTTTTCCTATTGTTTTTTTTAGCTATAATGAAAGTGTATGAAGATTTTTTCCTTTACAAAGAGGGAATCTATAGACACTCCCAGAAAGAAGGATCTAAATGGAAAACTCATTCAGTCAAACTCCTTGGGTGAGTAAAACATATACTTTTACTCTTTTCTTCTGCCAGTCATCAATGTGGCAAAATGTTAATGCCCAGCTTGGAACCCAAAGGTTTCACTGTCAGAGGTGGAGCTCTGTTAGCTCCCAACATGACATTGTTGTTGGTTCATTTTCATGTGTCTGAGAGCATTGGAAAGCAGTAAAGACCCGTGGTCTTTTAATCCGCACTAACATTTGCTCTAAGACTTCAAATATACTGGTTTATAGAATAAAATGTTTTGGTGAGTATTCACAAATATTCCATGTACACATCAAGGACATGATTTCATCCAAACATGCCACCAAGCAGAATGTAAAAGGAAAGATAAAAATTGCCAGTGGCCTCCTAAGTAACAAGCACAGCTTACCGGCACAGCAGTCTGGGCTCTCTACATCCCAAACAGAAATCAGCAGCTGCTGGAATGCTGCTGATTTTATTTGGGATGCACATCCAGGACTGAAACTGCTGCAGAAAAATGTTTATAATACACTTGTGGATTTCCCCTCAATTGTGGACCAGTGCCACTGTATTAATATGGCAAGTATCTAACAATGCATACACTTGAATTACAGAACACACCATGGGACTTTATTTTTTTGACATGGAGGCAATATGCCTGGATGAATTTATTAAATCACCTAGTAGTTACACAGGGAAATGACTGGAGAGTCTCAAACAAATATTTTATAGGTGATCTAGAATATCAAATAAATAATGATTCAGGTCTGTGCTAGGAAGATTACTGAGAGGATCTTCAACATGTAGTTCAAGAAAATAAAGTTGCAAAATAAAGTGCATTTTGTGTTTGTGATCTTAGTGAAGATATCCTTATAAAGGACATGGAAATGCCTATGGCTGTGGAAACTGCTGGCTATGAATTACAAGAGTGTACCTGATAGTGGCACAGCAGCAAAGAGAAAGAGCAGACTTATGCAAGATCATCCTTGACCCTATAGTGTTGCAAAAAAATTGACTCAGACTACACTACGTCACAACAGAATGTTGTGAAGCAATGAAAGAGAGAAACTGGAATTTAACGTGGAAAAATGAAGGACTGAATTAGGAAAATATGTTTATGAAGGACAGCCGGTATGTATTGGTTTATGTGTATGTATATAAGGTATATCTGAAAGGCCGTGAGAAACCAATAAAATTAGACAATAAAATTTGCAACGCAATTTGAATACCTCAGTTCAGGGATGAGCTGCTGTGAGGCTGTCAGTGCAGGTGTTGGGAGGACTATGAAGTGTCCTTGGGGCAAGTGTAGGGTGATGACAGCTATTACCTCAGATGTGGTGCCCCAAATATACATTGAATAACCTACTGAGGGGAGTGATTAAGCCAGAATGGCATAGGGGGACAAAGTGATGGCTGAGGAGGGAAAAAGGAGGACGTACATTAATGTGCAGAAGTGGATGCTGATGTGGTGACAAATGGCAGCCGACAGGCTGTGCGAGGAAAGGACAGCAGCCCTTAGGAAAGGATCCACTTGGGAGCACAAACCTGAGCACCTTGACCGAGACCGGCAGCTCCCTGCAGAGGATTGTATTGAATGGTCAGTGCAAAACATTGAGTAGGAGGAAAGCCAGGTGGTCTGATATACCGAAGAAGGACATGAAAAGTGAAGGAAAAAGAAGAAAACTGAATGTGATGATATTTAAGAAACCTCAGACTGGTTTGGAGTTCAATATGCATTTACTTACTAACTTTCATTGAACATTGCTGAAGTATCCAATGGATCCAACAATATAAAGAATTACCCATTCTTTCATTGTCTAATGCATAAGTGTTCTGACCTCTGAGATTATGCCATATAAAAATATTTGCTGAGGTGTTTAACTGTAAAAACTGAATTCAAGTTTGACAAGTTGGAGGCTGTTTGAGTCCAAGGCTAGGTGTACTTGAGTTTCTAGCAATAATAAATCCAGTCATAAAATGTGATTCTACACCATGAAATCTAAACCACTCTTTTGTACAGATTTTAATGTCTAGAGGATTAAGCTATCACTTTTTCATATCATTCATCAGTTTGGATTAATTTGAATGTAAAATGTGTGGTCCGAGTATAAGTTCTTTGCCACTCGTATAGAGCTTGGGAGGGGTTTTTTGAGCAAAGGAGAATGCAAAGTCCTTGACCTAAATAAAAAACACATGAGAATCTCATTAAAGTTGGACTTCAAATAATAAAAAAAAGATGATTATTTGCATTCTGCTTAGCTGAGGTGGTTCCTGGAGAGAGAAAAAGGAGCAGAGACACATGCTGACACATAGTGTAAGAAATGCAGTTTTGTGTGGGTTTATGTTTATTGTAGTCTGATTTTATATTTACAACCCCTTCTGTAAAAGAGATCCAATAATTGTAAAAGGCATCTGTAATAATGAATGACCATATTGAATTGATATTTGTAACCTCTCAGAAACATTTTTGATAATCCCTTAAACTGCCCATGGATTTTATGACATATAAGGTGATGGAATAATAAAATGGAAATAAATTTTGGTGAAGCTTGCAAGAGCTATTTGTACAAAACCAGAAATGAACATATAAACTGCCTAATTGATCATTGGATCATAGGGATTGTAAATGCCTTGACTGGCTTCTCTTGTTCTGCAACTTGAAATTGCTAGTTGTTTTCTATCATTTGAAGACTTCTTATTTATAAAATCAGCTCTGATAGGACTATAAGTTTATCTCCAGTGAGGTACTGTGTGACCTCAGGTGCAAGGAGAGAACAGGAAAAGACAGAACAGCATGGAAGCAGGAAAGGAAAATGTGGCACAGCCAGGTGGAAGGCATTGCAGGTAGCAGACCACTCGGGTTTGATCACAGTCTCTATGGACAGTGAAATAAGGCTTTCAGCAATCTGTTGGCTGACCCCACTGACATTTAGAGAGAGTAGGATCTCTCAAGCAGTTTCTATGTCTGTATTCCAGAGACAGGGAGGTAAGCAGAAAAAGGGAGTAACAGAGATTGGAATTCAGGACAACTAAGTTTAGATGTGTGAAAATTGGATTCCTCTGTCTCTGTTCCCTTATCTTCCATGGTTATTCATCTGCTCTGTCCTAGGTATCTGTCTTAAGGTGAGTTGAATTGCTTTGTTGGATCATTTCTCTTTGATGACTGTAAAAGAACCTGTGGGGTAACATCAGACTTTTACATAGCTAACATTAAAATGTCTAGGTTAGACTAGAGGAATCTCACTTGTAATGGCATCATAAAATAGCTTAAAAACAAAATGACCATCTGACTGGTACATAATATTTATAGTAAGTATCTTCAGAATGTCTTGCATATATATGTTTGTGTATACATATACAGACACATGTGTGGATCTATGTGTATATACACATACAGTTACAACTCTTAATGACACAAAAATGAAAACAAGCCAAGGAGGCACAATGAAACTGCAAATTGTAAGCAGGACTAAGACAGACAAATTAGTCAGATTTGGTAATTTTCACTTTTTCAGCTGCACTCTGTTATTTTAGAGAAGACTAATGACTGAAAAATGACATGGGAAACTGCCATCTTTATCTCAAGATCTCTTAATAATAAAAATAGACTGAATTCACATCAAAGATGAATTTGGTAGCAGATCTATCTCTCAGATCATAGAATCATAGAATCATAGAATCATAGAACCATAGAATGGTTTGGGTTGGAAGGGACCTTAAAGATCATCTAGTTCCAATCCCCCTGCCATAGGCACGGACACACTCCACTAGACCAGGTTGCCCAAAGCCCCATCCAACCTGGCCTTGAGCACTTCCAGGGATGGGGCATCCACAGCTTCTCTGGGCAACCTGTTCCATTGCCTCACCAACCTCACAGTGAAGAATTTCTTCCTAATATCTAATCTAAATCTATCCTTCATCCTGAATTACCCCAACTCTCTCAGCCTATCTTCACAGGAGAAGTGCTCCAGCCCTCTGATCATCCTCGTGGCCCTTCTCTGGACTTACTCCAACAGGTCCATGTCCTTCTTATGTTGGGGGCCCCAGAACTGAACACAATACTCCAGATGGGGTCTCACAAGAGTGCAGTAGAGGGCGAGAATTGCCTCCCTCGACCTGCTGGTGACGCTTCTTTTGACACAGCCCAGGATACAGTTGGCTTTCTGGGCATTCCTTCCCTTGTGTGCTAACTGCATCACACAGCTTGGTGGTGTCAGCAAACTTGCTGAGGGTGCACTCAATCATACTGTCTGTGTCACCCACAAAGATGTCAAACAGCGCCTGTCCTAATGCCAGTCCCTGAGGAATGTCACTCATCACTGGTGTCCACTTGGACATTGAGCCATTGACCGCAACTCTTTGAGTGCGACCATCCAGCCAATTCCTTATCCACCGTGTGGTCCATCCATCAAATCCATGCCTCTCCAATTTAGAGACAAGGATGTTGTGTGGGACAGTGTCAAATGCTTTGCACAAGTCCAGGTAGATGACATCAGTTGCTCTTCCCTTATACACCAACGCTGGCACCCCAGCCAGCTCCTCCCAGTTTATATGCTGAACATGATGTCATATGGTATGGAATATTCTTTTGGCCAATTTGGGTCAGCTGTCCTGGCTGTGTCCCCTCCCAGCTTCTTCTGCAGCACCAGCCTCCGCACTGGCAGGGCAGTATGAGAATCTGAACAGTCCTTGACTTGGTGTAAACACTGCCCAGCAACAACCAAAATATCACTGTGTTATCAACATTATTCTCATTCTAAATCCAGAACACAGCACTATACCAGCTACTAGGATGAAAACTAACTCTGTCCCAGCCAAAACCAGGACAACTCAAAAAGCTGTATCTGCTGATCCCCTGACACTGAAAAATTCAGAAAGGCCCCAAAAGCTGAAGTCTTTGGCTATAATCAAATCCATGGACTGTCACCCTAAGGCTTGGAGGGGACAAGAATAATTTTATCAAAAACCTTAGATACTATTTCATGAAAAAGATAGGGTTTCAGTTGTTTGGAAGGTGCTCAGAATGACAA